CTTAGGCATGAAAGCTAGTTGGGTGACTGTGGGCCAATCCACAGGAGACTGGGAGTTCTAGTCCCATCTTAGCATGGCTGGGTCGCTTTGGGTCAATCCCCAGGAGACGGTGAGTTCTAGTCCCATCTTAGGCACAAAAGCCAACGGGTGGAGACAGAGTTCTAGTCCTGCCTTAGGCCTGTGAGCAGGGGTGGGATTCTATCGGTTTGGATCGGTCCGGGTGAACTGGTAGCTCCGACTATCAGCTGCCCCCCCCCCCCCTGGCACTATACTCGCCTGTTTTCCCTTTTCTGAATCCCGTCTGAATTCCTCCCCAGCAGTAATGCGGAAGGTGATTTCTCTGTAAACTCTGCACATGCACCCAGGCAGCTCATTAAACCGGTTGTTAAACCGGTAGGATGCCACCCCTGTATGTGAGCCAACTCGGTGACTTTGGGCCAATCGCCAGGGGACGGTGAGTTCTAGTCCCATCCCTAGGCACCAAAAGCCAGCTGGGTCACTTTGGGCCAAACACTAGGAGGTTTGGGGCGAAATCACCAGGGGACGGTGAGTTCTAGCCCCGCCGTAGGCCTGTGAACCTGCTGGGTGGCTTTGGACCAATCACCCAGGAGTCGGTGAGTTCTAGCCCTGCCTTAAGGCACGAAAGCTGGCTGGGTCACCTGGCTGGCTGAGTGAGCTCATGGCGCTCCAGGGAAGAGTTGGTCGTGGTTTTCACGACTTCTGTGGTACGCGGTCTTCAACCAACTCCTGGGAATGGTGGCTTTGTGGACCAACCCATCCAGAGACAGTTCCGTCTTCTATCTTCACCTGCATCCACAGAAGAAACAGATTAAAGTCAATGTTGGTCTTGAGTGTTGTGGCCCTCCGGCGGCCAACACACCTGGCTGCAGAGTGGAAAATTAAGGAGGTTGGGGAGGAACACGGGTCAGTCCTGGCGGCCGAGGAAAGCTCAGACGAGGGCTCTGCGTCGGAGGCAGAGAGGGAGCTAGACAGCAGTGAGGCAGAGGAACAGCTGGAGCCTGTTCCCAGTGTGCGCATGCGCAGAGCTGCCGGAAGACAAGAACAACTCCGTAATCAGGGTCGGCTTGGGAGTAAAGCCACACCATGGAGGTGATTGGCCCCTCCCATAGGACTCAAAAGAGGAGCGGATGGGGAGGGGGCTTTTGCAGGAAACAATCCGTTCCTTCGGTCGGTTCAAGAGTGGAAAATTCTGTTTGTGACTCCAAGAGACTCTGTGCCAAGTGTTGCCTTGCCCTGCATTTGGAAACTAGTTACCTGGCAGCTCTCCAAGCGAGATAAGGTTCGTGTGGATAAAGATTCCTTTGAAAGACTGTTTGCTAAGCCTGGCTGACTGTGAATGAAAGGGATTCACATTCGTGTAAATGAAAGGGGTTTTGCAGGGACCCAGACTCTGCTTCATGCTCTCTAAGGACACCTGGGTCAGAACATTGAATAAGGCAAAAATAAACGCATTACATCTCAGAGCAAGATGGGTTGTCGAGGTCGTCCAGGGGACGGGCGCCAAATAATCCAGGATCTCTATCGCTGATTTAAACACATCAAGATTTGCAACGGCAGCAACTTTTTAAATAGGGCAAGCAGAGCTACAGGTAGTCCTCGACATAGCGGCCAAAATAGAGCCCAGAATTTCTGTTGCTAAGCGAGACAAGTGCATTTTGCCCCATTTTACAACCTTGCCGGCCACGGTTATTAAGTGAATTACGGCAGTTATTAACATGCTTGCTAAATGAAGGAGCCGAGGTGGCGCAGTGGTTAAATGCAGCACTGCAGGCCCCTTCAACTGACTGTTATCTGCAGTTCGGCTGTTCAAATCTCACCGGCTCAGGGTTGACTCAGCTTTCCATCCTTCCGAGGGGGGTGAAATGAGGACCCGGATTGTTGTTGGGGGCGATATGCTGTCTCTGTAAACTGCTTAGAGAGGGCTGAAAGCCCTATGAAGCGGTATATAAGTCTAACTGCTATTGCTAAATAAATCTGATTTTGCTTTTCGGGCTGATGTGACCCCGGGACACTGCAACCGTCATAAGTGCATGCCAGTTGCCATGCCTCCGAAGTTTGGTCATGTGACCACGGGGAAGCCGTGGTGGTCGTAAGTGTGAAAAGCATCCGTAAGTCAATCTTTCCAGTGCTGTCACCAGATGAACTGTTGCGTGGTGAAAAGACAGAGGAGAAATTGGTCTCAAGATGGAGGAGGAGGTCCCGTATTCTGGCCAATAAACACAGCAATGAGTTGGAAGGGGACCTCAAGACCAGCAGCTGAAATCTCTGAAGCCACCGGAGGGGGGATGGAAGTCTTCTGACTGAGGCTTCCCAAAAGCACGAAGCCGACTCCTCATCCCGATAAAACCCCTTTTATTTAGTGGAAAGGGGATTCCTCTCCAGCAAAGTCCTGGCCAACTGGGTGGGAATCCTAGGTAACTTCCAGAATTAGGATTCCACAGATGTGCCAAGATGTCTGACTTATTAAATTGAGACTTTAAGGATCGTTTTGCCTTGGACTCTGATTTAATTCTGCATGATACTTGGAACGCTGACAAGTCTTTCAAGAGATTCCACAACTACAGACCTTGATCAGGCTTGGAGAGTTGCCAGGCCGATATCTTCCAAACTCCAAGCTGTAGCAGCAATTCCTTGGCAAGAAGTTGGGAACAGATCCTCACCCTAATGAATTGAACAAATTGTCTCCTGAAAACTCCACTCCACTTTAGCTTCTCTTTATTCCCTA